ACACTTGCATATAAAATTTAAGTTGACCCAACTATGTTTAGTGAAAAATATGTTAGTGCCATTTTCTGATATGTTATTATTTATTTATTATGTTTCAATGAAAACATACTTATTTTCTCCACCCTTTTGAATGAAGAGCAGGATTTATCATTCGGTTCTGTCCTTTGGTTTGTTACATACAATTATTGCTGTAATAGTATATATTTTATCTACATATATAGTACATATTTTCTGAATTTCAAAAATAAAACAGTTGTAGACATTCTATCTGATTTTTCATTGCAGCTAAATGTTCGCTTGTTGGATATTCGACCAACCCAAACACATACTACTATTTTCTTTCGTGGAATCACATTTCCAAGAACTTAGATAATTGGCATCAGTAATTGCCTTAAAGTCCTCTTCAATAATTTCATAAACCATGTCAGTTGATTGAAAATGGCCCTGCTCTTTGGGTCTCGTATTCCACATCATAGAAATTGTAAAGTAGATAAAAGTCTTAAACACTTATTCTCTGAAATATTTTTGCATGTTTTACCACTTTGTAAATATATACAAAAGCTAGATAATTCATGTACGTAGATTACAACGCCAAGGGCTCAGGTATTGCCATTCGTAGCAGACGTCTAAAAGAATACATTGTATAAAAATTACACAGCCTACATATTAAAAAGTCATTATGACTTATTTACCAGTATAAATTATTATTATATTTGGTAAGATTAAAAGTGAGCTGTCAGGGTCATCATTGCCCTTTTGTTATACTCTTTAGAGAGGACTCTAAATGCAAAGTTTGATTTGGTGTGGAAGCACATCATCTAATTTTTAAAAATTTCTGCTGAAAGAAAAAATGAAATTACTTTCATCAGAGAAAAAAGAAAACAGTTTAAAACAGATCAGACATTTTACATGAAAACACAAACCTGAGCTCTGCACATTGAATTTGTACTGCAAAGTAAGTTCAATTTCCTAACATTCAAAGGTTATACAGCGGACACGATGCCAACGGACGGCCGAGTAATCTGGTACAAAACATTATACGTCGAAATATGGCGTGTTAAGGGCGTTTAAAGATATTTGTGATACAAGATTAGGATTTACATCTCGTGTTCATATTCAAACGTTTGGAAAAGTATTTAAATTAATCTCAAATTGCTTTCTTAAAGCAAATTATCAAAATATGCTTTATTTGACTCTCATTGTGACTGCTTGTTTGTAGCATAATGGACTCAGAAATAACATTGATTATTATAGACCTTTATAACCCTATAAATGTTTTTATTATCAACAGTTACGAATAATAAAAAGACATGCTTTTATACAGTGATATTTACTAAAACTTTGTAAAGATTAGTCCAAAGGGCATAGCAAATTAATGCAGTGAATTTGACAATGTTTTTAAAATTAAGTTATTCTTGTTAGACAGTGTTTAGTCAAAAGAGATTTAAAATGCGTAACAAATATTACAGCAATGACATTTTTTATAATGTTTGTAGCATTTAATAAGTTTAACTTGTTTTTGTTTTTGTCGCGGCGTCCACGGCAAATTTTATCAGGTAGGTGACTTGCAAGCATCTGTCCCTCGCTGGTTTAATTTTGAATCTCACCATATACTTTCGATTCTACGTGATTGGAAGCTATCTGTCTTGCTTACAGAATGTCAATGATTCTACACCGGTGACCGATGGTGCGCATGATATAATGCACGGGGCGGCACCTTAGATCTTCCTCCATAGGGAAAGCTTGTAAGTCACCACTACTATGTTAATGTACCGTAAAATAAAACCTTTGTTTTTCATACATCCAGGATGCAAACTTTCTGATGACGAACGATACATGTATTTGAACATGAACGGAGATGAAATCAAACCGGGTGATTATGTGAGTGCGTTTAATTAACTTAAAGATATTCTCTTACCAAGTCGATAATAAGTTTAAGACCTTTATAATTTTTGATAAAAGACATTATCATTAGAAGACTGGACAAAACGTTCGAATGTTACAATTATTTCTGTAATAAGATCAATGTACACATTTAATTCTATGTGTAATTTTATCTTCCTCTAAATTTGATGATGAAATTGTAATATGTAAACAATAACATATCAGCAATATATAACAACTGAAATTTTCTTCCAATAGTCTTAACGTTTACAATTTAGAACTCAAAATGAGAATCTTTATTTTAAACTCATAAAAAATATTTGACACGACATTTTTATTGTGTTTTTTTTTTTCTTTCTTGTAATTCGCCTTCCAGAATGAAAGGGCGGGGTGTGCTTTAATATGTCATTTTTCTAAGACATGACCCTACTGTTATTCAAAATATTCTTGTTATATTATAATGACATTTAGAACCTTAATACATAGCAATATGGAAATGTCTAAAAAGACCTTTTTATTTCTAGATCTATTTTGACAATGGTAGGTGCTGATGCTACGAATAGCTTAGATTTATGAAACTTAAACAACGACCTAAGTAAACAACAATATTAAGAATATGCATAACACTTTAATGTGTTAGTATATATTCCTAAAAATGTCGTCACAGCGTATTTGACAATTGCAATTTGACAATATTTGGCAACTGAAAACTCTGAATTTTATTGTTCTTTTAAAAATGGAAACATTTTATTAAACGTATTACTAGCACAAATATCAATATGCGCGTATTTCTAAACAAGCTGTTGCTTTGTACACAAAGACACTACAAATTGGTAATAGAGGTTTTCACTAGATCAACATTAGAATATTTTCATAAAACTTGTAACAGATATGAATGGTCTATAAAAATTATACAATTTGTTGTTTGTGTGTCGATTTCACATTTTTGTTTATTATAGTGAACCAATAAATATTTTAAGCGTTCAGTGCATACGTTTTTTAATGACATTGGGAACAATAGTTCATGAATTGAAATGGCAAGGAGTGACTCATAAAAAGTTCAATAATCACCGCCTTAGGAATGCATGTTTCAAATTTCTTAAACAAACCAAATGTTCCATAAGCAAAGTGTTGTTCTGTGTTTTGATTTTGACCATTAGCTGTGGACAGTCATAAACAAGCAGACTCATTAATGTTTTATTCTTTTATCTGTTGGAGTACAATACATACTACTGGTCAATACACGATTTTTTTATTCTGCTAATATTTTTGCGCAATGTTATAACATGTTAGTGCGACTGCAAAATAGTTCTGATTAATTAAATTATTCGAAATATGTAATCGCGGGAATAATTTGCGTTTCAACGCGAAGTAAAAAGCATTATTACGCGAATGAAGGCGTGTATTACATTATTAAGACTGATCTTTTATTTTGCTAATAAGGTAAGTGTTGATTCAAAGTAGATGACTTTTTCCTAAAAAGGTGACAGTATCTTCAATAAGTCAATTATATGAATATAAGGGATATAACTAAGTCGTAATCAGAAGATAGTATACATTAGCCAGATAATAGCTTTATCCTTTTTAAAGAATAGTTTAATATTCTCTAAGAAGTATTTATACCTTAGTAAATTGGATCTTCTTATTAAGCCATAGTCACAAGGTGATAATGAACTCCTTATTGGTTGTTATTATCTCCTCATAAGAGAAAGAGGTGTTAGACTTTGGCATAAGGGCGTTTCAGTAGATAACTGAAAAATTTTCGCACACAGTCATATCGAGAGCAGGTATTTAATTGTTCTTCCCTCTTCGCGTTATCAGGCCGATTGATAAGAATTGATACGCACGTTATTGAACTGATTTGAGAAAGCAAGTTGTTTCGCGTTTCTACGCCTTTGTTTGTAATTTTACCCTTTTTAACGGAACTACACATTTTTGCTTTGCGTTATTACATCATATGTTTCGCGCTACAATGCAATGTTAATGTTTTCATTTACATTTTACTTTAAAATATTAAGATGTTGTACGTTAGTTAAAAAAATAACAATTGCTCATATGAAACAACTTTATATAGATTTTTATCTATTTCCTATCCAGGATTTCACGTTACTCAGTACAATATTTAATGTTTAAAATCTATGAAAATAATGGTCAGCCAGTAAAGGATTACGAAAGTCAGTAAAAATACTTTGATAGGTAATCGATAATATAGCGATGAATAATCGTCATTTTTATAGGACAACAATTAAAATGTTAATGAGAACCTTGAAAGGTGCAAAAAGAAGAAATCCACGCAGAAAAGGTAAAGCGAAATCAAAATGAAAGGGGTGTGAGCCACACGGGAACCATAATAAGGCATACACATGAAACAAATTAAACAATTTTACCCATATTTGCATTAAATCAAATCAAATGTATCCCTGATTGTGTACGTTTTGAAAAACAACTTAGATCAATCAAGCATGTAACAACATTACGCCAACACTTATTTGTATAGAAGGAGATTATAAGGCATAAAGACTTTTGTGACAATTTTTCGATTTTGAACAAAAAAAAAGTTTCATATTTTTATGAAATGTTTCTTTCATATAAAAATTCAAACCACATATTTTAATTTTCTTTAATAGATTGTTATTGGGGATACATTGACGGTGGAATGTAGATTTACTGACGAGCACTCATACGATTACTACGATTTCTACGAGTATTCAGCTCTCGATTACTATGATACTTATACTAATACGATGGCTGATGAAATAACAATTTCTTGCAAGGATGATCATACAATGACAAAAATACATAAAGAATGTCCTGAAGGTATGTCAACGTCCTAAAAGTAAATACATTTATGTCGTTTGTAAGATCAGTTAGTGAGTCGGAAAAGTTATAAGGAATCTAATTTGAATTCTCTGTTATAATATGATGCAGCATTAGATTGCAACGACAATCTTTTCCGAAGGAGGAATACTTCAAGAGCAATTCTTTGCATAATATTATGCACCAGCGGATATCTCAATTCATTCATCAACATTGTTTATCCAGTATGATAGCTTCCAAATCTAAACTTCTAAGAGATTTTGCTTTTGTATTTAGAGACAAAAGATGAAAGATGTTTGACGATTGATAACGGAAATGTACAAAAATCAAACAACTACTATGTTGTATCATGTGATAAGGGATTCTCATTAGATATTATTGACCCAGAGGAAAAAAAGAGTAATTGTATTGACGGAATTTTAAAAAGTATAGTTGGAGGTCAGGAACCAAAATGTAAAGCAGGTATATTTAATGTGTATTGTTGCACAAGGTCACCTTATCATTGAACCATTTAAAGGAGAATTATTTTCTGTGTTTACAGTTTAAGGAAATAATTGCATACTATTATATATGGCATAAAGTTTTGTAAATATTCAAATTTATAAGTTCAATATACATAACCATTTTCAGCTCGATGATGTTAATATATTTGATATTTCTCTTTCTTGTTAAGCCAGCACATTAAACAAAGTTTCAATTTAAAGGTTAAAGCTTTATCGTTTAATCATTTGAACTCTAGTAGAATTTAAAATGATTAAATAATGCATTTGATTTTTTTCATCACATCGTTTTGCAGATCGTTGTCAAGTACCATATGACTATGACACACTTCTGTCAATATCTGACAGATTTCATGTTAGTCTCTCTGGAGGTTCTGTTGTCGAGGTTGGGGACTATGTTTACTTCAACTGTTCAAAGGCGATGGAGGATATGCACGAACCTGTAAATAGAAGATTCAAGTGTATAAACGGCCAGTGGATTGAGGATGAACGAGATAAATTATGGAAGTTTGGAAATAACGGGACTTTCCCGAAATGTAGAAAAAGTAAACACATTCATTGATTAAAACAATTGTTATTATTTAGCATATCTCAGGGCACAATTTTGTATTTAGCAATTTTGCGTATTGTTTTAGGCAAACATTTATTAATCTTGAGGTAGATATTGTGGAATATTGCACAGTTCGAGTGCCCAAAATATTTTGCTATCGTTCTCCATCCTAACGTGCTTGTAGAAAAAATGTATAACTACCCTCCTTAGTCTTCATTACGTTACTTTGTTTACTGACGTCACATGTTATATAATATATCTGGTAAGCATAATGCATATATCGTGTAATTGAAAATCGACCGTCCTTTACATATACCAAATGGGTGTACTATGAAGCGTGTTAAAAGTAATTAGACAGCACGTAGATAAAAAGTTCACTCATTTCTAGCTTTAAGTAGTAATAAACTTCACACAACTGCCAATGTTGATCTCTGTATAGTATATAGACTATTCGTAGATAAGTTGATAAGCAGATAACCATTAACACAACGTAATGCTAAATAGTCGTACTTATTTTTTGCACCAACTATGCTTTTTATACAAGGGTTTATCCATCGGGTTTTTTTGTTGTTGTTGTTTGTGGATGTTGTTAGTTTTTGGTTCTTAATGAAGAAATATCTTTGTTTCCCTTTAACACAATCAGCTTTATTTTTAAGCAGAAATTATGCGTACAGTATACCTTAGCTTAAATTTCGCTTAAAACCACATTGGCGATTCCGGGAGGAATGCATTAGTCTGTCATAATTGTTTTATATTTATAATTTTTCTCAAATAAAATGTAAGAAACTCTCTGGTTTCATTTAAGATTTTCAAACAAGTCGTGCAATTATCATGAAGTTCAAACAATAAAGAAAACAATAATTTAATTGATAAATGATTTCGTCTTTAATTCACGTCTACACGAATAAAACAAATAAGACACCTTTTTGATTTGCATTCGATTTGCATTTTCATTGCTTTAAGGTGTCCAATTCCTTAAAGCAATGAAAACGCACTTATCATGTTAAAATCACTTCTTTGGTTTCATTGTATCTGTTTTTGAAAGAAAGTTAAACAGAAGATATTTTTCTCTTCATATCGTAACAATGATTTTCTGTTATAGTACATTAAGACATCTCACTTTTCATGCTTCAAGTATCACAATTGTTATGAGCATTTTACCAAACTTCCATAGTTTTAAAATAGCTCAGTCTTTTCTTATCAATAACTTTACAAGCTTCTTTTGATGTCACTTGCAAGGCTGATTAAGAGCTATAAAAGACCCTATTATTTTAAGGTTCAGTACGTCAAAGATCTAGGGCAGTTAACAACGCTTCTTTATTTGGTCAGGATATATGAATTATTAATCACAATAAGAGGACACACATATACATCTAAAAATAATCATTTCTATTTATGTGCAAAAATGTTTTTTCTTTCTCATTACATATATTATAAAAACGTAATTTGATATTATTTAGCAATATGTGAACCGGAGTGTGAAAATGGTGGTGTTTGTTTGAGGGATGATGAATGTAATTGCAAGCATTTTACATCTGGAAAACATTGTGAAAACGGTAAATATAAGAAAATCTTTTTTTTTTTTTTTTTAAACAAATATATAAATCTTGACGAACACTGTATCCGGTAAATAGCTCCTATAATATAAAATATTGATACTACAACCTTAAAATATTGTTTTGAACGAATTCTTAATAATGCTATCATGTCATGTGAACTTTTTGTAATTAAACGGTCTTTTCGAGGTACGAAATGTATTTCATTCGTTTCGAAATCGTAATTTCTCAAAACAATCAACCAAGTCGATATTTTGATTAATTTATAGCTCATTTGTATAGTGTGTTAACATGGCAATGTTATTTACTTAAGTTTTTGACATGTACTTTAAACATTTAGTTCTATGTGATGATAAATGCAAAGCTAATAACGGTGAATGCGTTGGTCCTGGCAAATGTAGATGCCCGGAGGGGAAATTCGGAACTAACTGTGAACTTAGTAAGTATATATATGGAGGAAATATAGTATCAGCTAAGTTCTCTTATAGAAGCTAGTAAAAGATTAATAATGAAAGTCTAAAAGTATTAAATAAAATATTATAAAATACTTGAAAAGAGTAATAATGCGGATCAAAAGGCATAAAACGAGAAACGAATGGCGAAATAAGGCGAAAAAAAGGATAATATCGAGAAACAAGATGGGTAATAACGCGAAACAAAATGCATAATTATAACGCGTGTAATGATAAAAATCCTAGTAAACCCGAAACATTTTTATTGGTCACAACTATAATTTCTTATTTGAAAAAATGAATTTTCATTGGTGCATATTTTCTTGTTTAAGAGTCATTTCTTCATTGGTTCATTGTCTTTGATTATTTAATATTAATAAAGAAAGAGACAGAACTGTTGGATATAGAATGATTAAGGCAGACAGACACTAAACATGTAATGGTTTAAGTTTGAAGCTTTCCGCCTCAGTTTTCTGCAGTGTAATTATATTTACATATATTGTTGTTTTCAACCGGGGCTGAAATTATTGTTTTGTTATTATAAATAAGAAAAACAACTATGTTATAAAAACAGGAAAATGGACTTACTGAGTTTGTAATGTATTTGTGACCAAAAGAATAAAAAGTTTGACATGATTAATTATTATACGTAAACGGAGTATTTATACAACCGAAATGTTTTAAATGTTAAAGAATATTATGGACACGGAAACCTACCTCTCCACCCAAGTACCACCTTTAAAACCCGCACTACAAATTGACCAGATTAAAACTATGAATGAACCGTTATTACAAATTTAGTCCACAACTTAGACGTCATTATTTGCAGAAATCATTCACGTGCTAACTTACTAATAGGAGGTATGAAATAAAAGTTTCCAATCTTTTTCTCTGTGGGTAGTTTTGTCCGATACCTGAAATTATTTGAGAGAATGTTCTCAGCATGTTGATTGTTATTTCTCTCTTTTTAACGACATTATTGATCGTTTTCATGGCCTGAAAATGGATCTGGCCAATAGTAACGCATGGTTGAAAAAATGCTATTTATCATGATCAATAAAAAGACAGTCAAATGCATACATTTGATTTATGAATCTTTGAAGTATATTCGTTTAGCGGACATATGCTCTAATGTCCGGGCAAATTATATGTGACAATGATTGTACAACATTCCGAATAATTACTAATATTGTTAATTAATATACATTTTATACTCATTAACTTATTTTTTACTAAAATGTTGTTTGTTATTTCTAAAAACTTCTTTGTTAAATTGCGACAAATAGCTTATAACTTATACTAATATATAACATGTAATTATTTTCGTACATGACAAAAAACATAAAAACGGCATGGCGACTTTTGTAGAAACCATGAATTGACATTAATAAAATTACATTGAGAAATTGACCAGCCCTTGACCGCAATTATTTAACGAATATAAAAGGATCAGGTCGAGTTAACAAATTGCTGTTTAATCAGGTGTTTAGATTCTCATTACTGCACACGTTTATAAAGTTATTCAAATTTCTTAAAAGACCGGCGAAACAAATATTAAACTCTTTCTTTTTATTAAAGGGAATTTAAGTGAAGAATGTAACGGAAATTGTTGTGTACAGTTATGTCCCTTTATGACGGCTTTTGATTATGGCGATTGATTACGTTTTACCCCTTTGAAATAAACGTCTTTAATAGAGATACCGATTATGTAGGTACAAACTGGTTAAACATTACAAAATTGGAACCAAGGAAATTCATAAAACGTGACGTCTTTTTTTAGGAAAGTGTCACGATGTTCGCTTGATGAGCAAATTAGACTTTTTTTGGGGTTGTGTAAAATCACTAATACTGTTGTGTGGTTAACAAGATTTTATTTACAACAAACTAAATAATACAAACTACTGTAAGGTTATATGTAAAACATGAATAGAATAATTGTTGAAGTATATTTAACAGATAAAATAAAAATGATAATTATATATATAAAAAACAATGTTTATGTAATCGTTAATTAATCTATCTGAGGCTATTGTCCATGTTTTCTTGTTAATGTTAGTCTTGGTCTTCATTGTTCCTTTTATCCAGTTTCTGAATTGTAAAAGCATTCCAACTTTATAAATTTATCTCTTTAAAATGTGAACTATGTTCCAATTTATAAACTTAACTAATAACTTCCGTCAAAGAAAACCTTCGTATGTAAAATGAAATACTTCATTCAATAAATCTTCTCAAATATTAACGTGAACACGAATCTGCATCTAAGCCTGAACCTGAACCTCAACCTGAACTCAACCTGACTCAACCGTCTGGAACCCTACAAAAGCATTAAAATATCCCTAAGTGTCTTACGTATGTATATAGATTAACATTTCGTTTATAAACTCTCATTAAAAATAACTAATTTAAAATGCATTTGTAATGATTAACCAACAATAATAATTTTCACATAATTATCTTATATGTATCTAAATAATTATAGGCAATCAGCATTGATTAATTGGAAAAAGTTAACTCAATAAATAATCATTCCTTAGACTGTGCAACAGACTTATCATATGCTTAATATTATGTAAAGAACAGTTAATTCTGAATGAGTCTTAAAAAGTTGAAAAAATAATAAGTCAAACATACCGTCAGCTTTACTTATTCCTACACTTCCCTTTTATAACTTATTTGTCATCAATGTGATCACTTAATGTAAATGATAATGTCAACGATGTGACTTTAAACTTGCTACAGCTAAATTGTCATCGATGTGACTTTGTAATTATGTCAAAGATTTGACCACTTTTCTTTTATACACACATTATCGATTCCAGCTCTCAGTCTAACCGCTTTCTGGCAAATGCACCCTTTTATCTTGCATACACATTATTAATATTTATCTCTCACTAACATAAACATAAAATAAACACGATTCCCACACTCTGTTAAAATAGCAGATCATTAGGCTAGACAGGTGATAACGAGATCCCTTAGAATTCCTTTGATTTTTCTGATCATAGAAAGTTAACCTCTAGTTCACCCTAAATTCACCTAGAATTTGTCTGGTACCTAATTGATAAAACTTGATGTGCTAGCTTGTATTATTAGAGCTTTAGTAAACAAATAAAAATTGAAGATTTTCTTGACACAGGAACGCATTGGCTTTGTGGAGAGCATATAAGAACGCGCTTCAAGATCATTTTGAACTTTGCGATTTTAGTCCATGGTTAAGTTTCTAGTATATCAGTCAATGCTTGTGCTTATACCTTCAAATTATAACTAATATGAACAGAAATACGCAGTTTGTTATTTTATATTTGTTTGTAGAGATGTGTTATCGATTTTTTTCATCACGTTATAAGTCGATTCATCGGTAATAGACTAATACAGCGTGGTAAAGATTTGACGCGTTAAATAAATCGGTTTGTAGATTATATATTTAATTTTTCGTTCTATGGCGCTAATAACTGGAATTAATATTGAAACAAACTTTATGTATTTACTTTACAGGGTTGTCAATTTCCAATCCGTTTGAAAATTAATAATAATTCAGTGGTCAACTGTCATTGACACTCACCTCCGATAAACGATTACTGTTAACACAGTACGGTTTAATGATATTTTAAGTTAATGGCCATATTTGTATGAATTACACCGTACCAAAACAAAACCGTCATATTTTTCAAACTCATTCGCAAAAATTATCATAATCACTAAACAATAGGATATATGAAATTAAATAAATGTTTCCAATTTTGTTTCTTAATCAAGAAAATGAAACAGGCTCACACACACCTTTAGAGAATGAATAAGTCAAAATTAATGAACCTCATACATCGATTCGCGAGTAGCCATTTTTTTAACGACAAATACAAACTGACCACAATAGTAAGAGGCAGTATATTCTATTAAAGTTGTCGCTTGACTGTTTATTAAGAATTAATATATCGCAAACAGCGGTTTTATCGTTTAATAACATCACTGTTTTGTGGTTGGATGCGAGGAATAATAACACGAGGGCGTAGCCCGAGTGATTAAATGATACACTTTCGAACGACAGACAGTGATGTCACCAAGCGATAAAATTACCTACTTGAATATGTAGCTATATTGAAATAATATAAATACGTATTGTATATTGTTATTTGTGACCTCATATAAATATTGTACGATTATTGCCTAAAAGGCATCTAAGACCGGTGCCGCGTAATAATCACACAGGCGTAATTTTACCACGGTTTACACATGTTTTTTAAAATTTGCCTGTAACTTTGTTTACATACAAAGCGCTGTGAAAATTGGAATAAATCTTCAGCATAGAACAATTATGACAGGCATGTATTTGAATAGTCTGACAGTATTTATTTTCTCCAGAATATATGCGTAATATTGAGCTTAATCGCCAAATTTTGCATCTTCCGTAGGGCATTTTGAAAAAAAAACCTGCAAAGTTCTAAAAGACTTAGTATTAAATTCATGAACATAAATGCTTTTTTAATTTGTCAGTGGTGTTTTACTTTGTTTCTTGTCCATTGGTTTATTTCTAAATTGGCTAGAACTAATCTTAAGCTGTAGTTGAAAATGGCCAATTTCTCCGAAAACCAGGTCAAATTACCCGAAAATTTCCCCGAAAGGGTACTACAAATTTAAAATTTGTCATTCATTACCATACACATTTATTCTGAAGAATGAAGGTCTAATAACTTGTATTATATTTTAATAATTATAATTCAACGATTGTTTTTAATCAACAAACGCCATAAATATAAATAACACGATTTAAAGCGGCTTGTATCCTTTGGTCTAATTTCAAAATGGTAGACAAATCCTGTTAAAATGTGATCTATATACTTTATTTTAACTGATTAAGTACGCATGCGTCATTAGATTGCATTAACTTTGGTATCAAAATGTAACAAAACGCTTTCCCAACTCAGCTAATCATTTAAACAAAAATGACAATTCAAATTAACAATAGAACTTCACAGCTTTGCTGCATTTAAGTGAGCTGCCATTTTGGCAATTGAGGATCACTTACCTATGGTGTCTGATTTGTGCCATTGCGTTATAGTGTTTGGTTGTGGTTGTTACAAGTAGCAAAACCTTGAAAAGTGACAGATTGAGAAACTTACAAAAAGTTTATTTTGTCACAGTTCATTTTATCACACATTTTGTTCAGTTTATTTTTCTTCAGTATTTTGTGAATATAGGCCCTTCAACTGCAACAACACAGAAAATGAGGGAGGGGAGACAATTTTTTCCATGTGC